AGGCTGTGTGTGTGTGTGTGTGTGTGTGTGTGTGTGTGTGTTTGTGTGTTCGCACTTTTTGTCACCCACTTTCAACATGAAAACCAAAAAAGCTAGAGGGCTGAAACTTTGGCACTATGTGCCTACACCATGCGCGACCGTCCGGTTTCAATATCATCGTTCGCCTACACCTGGGTGCCGCGTACGAACGTCTTAAAAAATATGCAAATTTTTTGGCGGGAAGTGATCTTGGGAACCAGACAAAGTAAAGGGCTGAAACTTTGCAGTGATATTCCGTGTGAATGTGTGAGTTAAAGGTTTTAAATTCAGCCTCCAGGTATGCGTGGTATTCATGTAAGGACGTATGAAAGTTTTGGCTGGAAAACTGCTAACTCGAGGACCAAAAAGCCAGAAAGCTGAAATTTTGGGCTAATGTTCTCTGTCCAAGTACAACTTAAATATTTCAAATTCAGTCTTCAGGTATGCGTACTTCTCACGTACGAGCACATAAAAAATTTGGCGTGAAAATTGCCAATTCGGTAACTAGAAAAACTGGAAGGTTGAAATTTTAGGGGAATTTTCCCCGTCCACGTACAATTTAAAGATTTCAGATTCAGCTTTCCAGGTACGTGGGGTACCCACGCACGGGCATGTAAAAGTTATAGCCGGAAAATTGCTAACTCGGGAATCAGAAAAACTAGAAAGCTGAAATTTTAGAAGGATGTTTCCTGTTCAAATACAACTTGAACATTTCAAATTCTGCCTTCAAGTAGGCGTGGTTCTCACGTACGGACACTTAAAGTTCTGGCGGGAAAATTGATCGCTGAATAGCCAGGTTACTTTCAAAGGACGACCGTTAAATGGAAGTTGTGCATTTACTTCATGCAAAATTTATGGTGATTTACTCTAGTGAGCGCAAAAAGTAGGTATAAAGCAACAATCATTCAAGCAGTTAATGATCTGAGTGTTTCAAGTCTGGTGCAAAAGCGCAAGATCGCACCGGCAAGCCCGGTGAGTTTCAACCTGGGTTTGGTATTCGTTATGTGTCATTTATGTAAATTCTGGCTCACTATAGGACTGACTCATCAAGCTTCAATGCATAAAAATTAAGTTTTCGTTTGAATAAATCACTTTTTTCTAACTTGCTGTTGCATGTTGTTGCCCTCAACAGTCAGGCAAAAACGTATGTTGAGCATTCAACTTCCCCTCTCTTCCACATGCCTAACATTTAACTTAAATCGGACTACCTTCTAGTATTCGTTCGTGCAGATACTTGTATTCCGGGCTGTTCCTGAATGGCTTGGTGTACTCATGGCACTCATTTATCGTCGAAGCTCCGAGTCGGTAAATTTACGATGGGCTACGGTTTGAATATTCTACACACTATGGACATCTCGAGATGGCCAGTGCCTTGCCAGTTGTCTTTGTCGGTGACCACTGAGCTAATTAGCCTCTCAGAAGATGTAACGAGCGTCAGGACTGCGAGCAGTCTGGCCAACACAGGTGGAAAAATTGACAGTAGTATCGCTGAAGAATAGACTATAAACTGCAGTTTGTCTAAGTATCCCAAGTAGAAGTATATAATGAAAAATTTATAGACAAGCTTCGAAATGAATTAAGCTAAAGAGTTTTTTCTGCTCCGTTGCCAAAGGTGGGCAAAACTTCTCGGGCAGTTGGAAATGAACATATTGCCGGAGGGTATATCCGCAAATTACTCCAGCACATCGCACACACTGCTCCGCAAGTATTGCCGCACGAAGCGAGCGGAACGCGGAACAAGCGGAATGCAGCGACGTAGCTTGCATCGATCGGTGGCATGACGGCATGCGCATCGGCGGCAGAACTGCCCATCATCGAGTGTCCTTTTCAGACCATAGCGCCGCTTCCAGAGTAGGGGTTGCTGTCCAGCGTAACGCTAGGATCCTCTTCAGGTGTCTTGGCACGCTCTGCACTGCGCTTCATCTCCGCATCTTGCGCCTCATGCTAGCAACTCAACGGGTAAAGTTAAAATAATGGTGTCATTTTTCCGCTTTCTGTGAAAAAGGAGTGGCTTGGATGGAACTAGGCTAAAAAGCACTGCTGACTAATAGCAGCCACTCCTGGTCGGGAATTTCGATGGTCCTTCTTCGGAATATTGTCTAAGAAGTGAGAGCATTTCTCGATCTCTCAATATGCTAAGCATGCTAGCCTTAATGTACCGCCAGAACGAAACGTAGAGGATTAGGTTTTAGTGATGACAGCAAATGAGCGTCGGCTCGAATTTGAGAGGAATACAAGCCAGTTACCATTACACCAGAAATATTGTCATTTCTGGTAGACCATTTTTGTTCGGCTGAAGAAAACATGCCCTGTTTATTCGATTTCATAGAAAGAACAATTGATGCTTGCGAATCAAATGGAAATTTTGTTTTTTCTCACAAAAATTCAAATTTTCATTCGAATTCAAACTCTTTACGCACCCAAAATTTTTAAATTTACTGAGACTAGAATCGAAGGGCCTGGCATAGCTGCATCCAGTGTGTAGAAGCATACCGAACATCACTAAACGAGGACACTCACGCTGGTTGCCTCAATGATTTTATTATTCTTCATAACAATATTTTAACACGAAAAATATTTAAATTCTGATATCTCGCCACAAAACTGCGTTGCATGATGTTTGAATTTACAGTGTGTAGTGGCTGATTTAGCAGGATAGTCATTAAATTCGGCTCAACTTCTCTCGGCAGAGCAATATGTACTCGTTTTTATTCGCTTATGCATGTTTACGCAAATGCTAAAACGTACTGAAGTAGCCGCTGTAGGCTAAAGTAACCGGTAAACGGCGGCTAAAATCTTGACTGAATATTTGTAGTCTATGTGGGGATTCGTATACTTAAATAGTGTTTCGAGGGCACCACTACTTCTTAAGGCATGTCAAAAATATTTGCAGCGAAATGCTGACTTCTGAAATCGTAAAAGTTAAAAAGCTGGAGTTTCACAAGGGTATTCTAATTTTACAAGCGCGCGGTATAAATTCAGCTTGGAAGGCAAAGACGTGAAAAATACTCAATTTTTCCGCAGCCTCAAAAACAAATATTTTTTATGAAATTTCACCATGGCATCATTTCGGCATCTTCTGTCGTCGCATCCTGTTCATTGTCCAATTTGCATTTCCCGAAATATGACCAGTTACCGGAAATTATTCGTTTTCCTTTGTGCAAAATTCACGGCAACCGCGCATGTTGGAGTTCAAGATTTCACTCAGCCCATGATACAGTACCGCCATCCCAGCTGACTCTCTTTACACCCGCATGCAAGAAAAGTCTTTCCCACAGCATCAAGTTTTGTGCTGAGCACAAACACTCAAATAGTCCCACTCCTTCCCCTCTTCCTCCCCCCTCCCCTACAGCCCGTTCCTGTTTCTACTGCTTACTTCCAGCCAACGTCTTATCCCCTTCAAAACAATACCCCCGTCCCTCTCTTTTGTTACGATCCCGAGGCCTAAACACCACTATTGGTCGTCATCTCTCCTTCCGCCTCTCTGACTCCACATCCACAGTTACTATAACTTCTTTCCCAACTCGTCCGAGTCGAGTCTTAGTAGTAGCTGTTTTAGATGGATAGCCTCCCAAATGTAGCCACAGCGAAGGGAGGGTCGGATTCGACATTCAACGAAAATTTGATCAGGGAAGTACGCCAGAATTCTATTATCTATGATTCTTCACATCCGCATTACTGTAACTCAAACAAGAAACAGGAAGTGTGGAGTGAAATTGCTGCGAAGCTCAATGAAAAAGGTTTGATTTAATCTTTTCAACTTAGTAGGCTGCTGAAACCAGAGGGAATGAGCCCTGAGAAATGACCGCAGACTATTAAGAACTGGTGTTTTCTTAGGGAGACAGAACAAATATTAACATCGTCAGCAAGATGCCTACTTGACGAAGCAGCATTGGTTAAGCAACTGGTAAGGTTCCCTGCTGCACAGAGGGAGAATCAGACAAGAATCAGAGCCCAGGTACAATAAAAAAGTGCACTCGAAGATTTACACATTTAGACTATAGAATTATAGGATTTATCTAACAGGACGCGAAAACTGCGTTCAGATGGAACCCAATCAACTGGGAAGTAAAAAATCTGTGCTGGTATGAAAAGCAAAAATGTTAAAAAGGAATATCGAGAAATACAGATTGCATGGATACATGGAATACCTGTTAGCTGACAGTGTGATTTTTCAGTCTGTCAACTTTTCCAGTTGCTCAAGCTGATGCAGTATGGTCTGAAGACACTAACGTTTATTTTGTCTCCCGAAATGCCAGCTCAGCGGGTCTCTTGTCAGAAGCATCTGGCAATGCTTTAATCATTTCGTGATCCCTGATGTATTTGTGTGTAGAGTATCATCACTTCGCTGGAATGTTCCAGTGCTAGACTGCGATGAAATGCCTTGTTACTGTGAAAAATGCATTGTGGGAGGCATTCGCTTAGGGCAGAGTTTGGTTAGAATTATTGTCTCTGTGGGCCAAACACACGTTAATTTTTGAAGTTTTTTCCCAGTGGTGTTAAGCATTTTTCCTAGAGAAAAAAAAGTATATGTTTTGGGAAAATTAGTTAATTTAGTGGAAGCAGTGAAAACTCGATGGCGTACGTTACGCGACCGATACACGAAAGAACGACGTCGTGTTTCGACTTGTGGAGTTGCTCCAACGTTTTCCTACTATCTGGACCTCTGCTTCTTGGATAAATTTTATGCCGAAAATAGGTTTGGCATCTTCCGACTTCTTTAGGTTTTATAATGAATTATAGTGCTGGATGTCCATTACTTTTGGTTAAAGGTTAGTTTGTCTTTGGTTTCGGCCACTCAACCATTCTTCGTGATACCTTTCTTTTAACTAAGTTTATTGTCATTTGCTCGATAGGTGAGAATCTGTATTTTTCAGGGTCACACCAGCAAAGCGTAGCAAGGGAAGCAGCAGCGGTAGTAGCAATGGTACTTCAGGCGTTATGGCAGCAGCAATTGTGAAACAAAAAATCGCTGAGCAACTGTCACTGGATGACTGTGATGCATACCCATTTGATTCGAATGGGCATGTTTTTGGGTACACTGATAATTTAACTTGCGCAGCATTTTCAGCAATCCTTGATTATAATTTTGAACATGTTTAGCGGTAATCTTTTCGGAAATACGTTTGCTTTGAATTGAGAGAATTATGCGTTCACTTTCAGTTCAAGGAAGTATATGTTCATATCGAATATAGAGACAACATTCTTTCACAGCGGATTTAGCGAAATGTGCGTTCTTCGAACCTGGGGGCAGCTTGCTTTTATAGCAAAATAAGGGAAATATGAGTTCGCATTGAAAATGAGAATACTACACCTTCATAGCAAGCTGGGAATTCAGATCGAATTTGAATACAGCATACCTTCGAAGGAGGATTGCGTTTGTATCGAAGTGAGGGTAGCGTGCAGCTTTCTTGGCTTGAAGCCTCAGATCCGTTATCTGTGTTCATCATACTGTTTTTGTTGGCGCTGCTATTATTTTGCTCCGGTAAAGTTCGCAATAAACATTCCAAGCTGAAATATGAGTAAAAAGTCTGAAAAACTAGTATGCTACCCTCAGTCATGGCTAAAAGCCTGGTAATGTAGTAGAGGAATTTTCAAAAATTTTTGGTTTTACTGAATTTTCAGAACGGAAAATGAGGCAAAGATAAAAGTGGACGAGGCAAGGCCGCCATCGTCTCTCTCGGAATGTTTATTGCTACAAAATGATTCAAAGGCTCAGTGCTGGTCGCCAACAGTTGTTTCTGATCCGGTAGATCGCACTGAAGAAGTACCATCAAAACGCCTGAAAATGGATTCTTCGCCGGCGTCCCCATCCGATACAGTTGTGGATGCACTGATGCGCAGTGCTGAAGCTCTGCAGCGTTTGGCAGAACGGAAGTCGATTTTCGACCGCTCGGCAGCTGGTCCACGCGATGCCGACGAGTGTTTTGCAGATTTTGTATGTATGTCATTGAAATCAATTGAGAATGAAAGCCGGGTCCATGCTCGCATTGCAATCCTTCATGCTTTGGCACAATTTCAGACATAAATAGTTTGTTTTGTGCAAGAAGATATTTTATGATTTTTTGACATAAATTTACTACAAGAGTTCTGTTAAGACGGTGTCTTTTTTCTGTGCAGGGATTTTGAAATCGCTCCCCAGAAGCGTCTTGAATAGCATCCGATGAGAGTGGTAAAATCTAGTGTTGCCAGTTCCATTCGAACTCGTTACAAATTGAATATATTTATGCCCACAAAATATTAAAACAGTCATCGATGTTCGTGGGTCTCGTTTTGTTTTATGGATTTATTTTGTTTTAAGCAAAAAACTACAGTATTCCACTGTATTTTTGTTTTTTTGACTTTAAAACAAATACAGAGTGAATTTTTCGATACCACAGGATCTGCCTTTCTCCAGTATCGCCTCGGATGGGTCATCTGATGACAATCAAATGATGATTTTTCTTTGCTTTTAGAGCTCAAAATTTCTGAAATTTCAAGTTCGTGCGCAGTGTTTCAATGTTGATGAATCTGCTTGCTTGAATTTCACATGCCAGTACTACACTTTTTGCATGCCGAATGATTGTCTGATGTGGTTTTGCTAAAAAGGAAAATTAATTGCGGGAAAATCGACCCTCAGTTTTGTCATTATGAGTACCCAGCAACTTGCCTCCTTCAAAAAATGCTCAAAACACAATTAATTTGGGTAATGGCTTGTTTGGGTTGCCGATATCTTGGACAGTTATAAAAAATTAGAAGACAAAGTTGGTCTGCCGATGATTCAAAGCTCTGCCGTGATCATGCGAAATCCGCTTACTACTTTTCTTCGGTTTCATACATGAATTTTGATGAGTCCGTGCTGTGAATTATGCTAATATTTTTGCTGGATTTTACCCAACTGCAACTATCAGATTCCTCACATCTACTGTTCATTCAATCCTTGAACTTTGCCCATACTGTGTCAATAAGAATAACGCATGATTATATTTCGACTTTGTTTCGTCAATCAAGAAACTGTTAATAAAGCATTTCATATTGAAAGTGTATGAATTAAATCCATTTAACTAATTTCATTCCTTCACAAGACGCATAATGAAGAAAAAGTACTCAGCAATCACTTTTTTTGAGCGTTTTATAACCTCAAGCTAGTTTTCTAAAGTTGTGGCAGCTGACAGATATACTGTTTCCCTGATCTGACTGTGAAACGGGCATGTGGAAATCAGAGCGGATAGATGTCATCTGGAGAAGCAAGCTCGCACAGACGCCGGTATTTATATGCAACTGTTCGACTTCCTTCATCAGCTCCCGTTGTAGCTCAAATTTTTCATCCCTTCTTCCATTCGGTATCTTGTTTCGCCAACGTACTCTTTCTTGAAACGTTCCAGCTCGGCATTCTTTAGACTAAATTGCGCGTACACTTCATTGTAATCGTTGATAGCATCCAGAATTTGCTCCCGAACATTTCGAATTAAAGCCATTTTGTCATGATTTGTATGAAAACAGAGAGGGTAAAAGGTTGAGAAACGTGTGGGCTTCCTGAGATAAACCATAACTTGCAGGACGACCGTTTTCTTGTAGTGCAAGACTTTAACGAGAACAGAGCGCTTCTGAAACATATCGTGGAACTCCGAGAGATTTTCATGGATAGCCTACAAATACTTCAATATTGGGACCGGTAAGTCGAAAAAAAGTACAACTAATGCCGTGCCTAAAGCAAACTCATTTTCTGAATCAAAATAAGGGTAAACTACAACTCAAAATTGTGTGATTAAGTTTAAAGCACAGGGCGAATTCCTAAAGCGCATCGTTCTTTTCTGCATTTTTTTTGAGTATACTTTACGCTTGAGCAAAAACAGTGCGCCAATCTCGAAACGACGCTTTATTAGCTTATCTGGCCAGAAAGGCTTTATGACCTTAATGCGTGCTTCAAGGCGCAGAGAAGTAGTGTCACAAAATCACATTTTCCAGCCGTCTGGAACTCAGAAATAAAAATTCTACTTCTGAATTCGAAACACTTGTAGGCTCAGTCAGTCCATCATCTTTGGTATTGCTTTGGCTTGGCTACAAAATGGTCATACTTGTGATCATACTTAATTATAGTATGACATTTTGCAAGTTTTCATGACGGAGGGAAGGCGGAAAGAAAGAGTAATCAGTACAAAAATAAGTTTTTCGTGATGGCTTCCGTGCCAGTTTATGAAAATATCTTGAATTCGGTCTTGAGGTAGAGCTCCTAGCAAGTTTCTTGCGATGAGTGAGATGACCTGGCCGTGTTGTGTAAGAACGATAAGGAATCCCGTTTTAAATGAGATGAAACATGAATAATTAAAGAGGAGGCGCAAATGAAATTTGCCGAAAGGAAAGTCAGAATTATCACCAAGCTGAGCACCAGGCGATGCGGTTTCAGCAAAGGCAACCACAGAAAATCATTTGAAAAAAAAAAAAATAACCGTTGGTCAAAGTGACAAATTAGGCTTACATTATTAGCATAAGCTGTGATAACAAAGCCAAGCAAGCATGCTATAGTCCAGGTATCGGGATTATATAGGCCCATTATGTTGATCCCTGAATCCAGAAAAGGAACACGGACTCTGAAATGGCCCAGGCCCGGAGTGAAGCCTTTTTTCCTCTCTCCGCCTCCTCTTCCTTTCACCACAATCACTTTATATACTTGGACACGTTGCACCTAACAGCAGTAGCAGGGAAATACACCAACACATAAGGTAAAACTCTAAAGCCATAACCTAATATGTTTTTGCCATAACCTAATAAGAGATTTTTTTGGGGAAAAATTTTTTCCAACGCTCCTGCGAATGATGACGGAACTGATCCTTATACAAACTTAGCTGTTAATTCCACGTTTAGTGACAGGTAAAACAAGGCAGAACTCTCAGTGACAACAAAAAAGAGCGGAGTTCACTCAACCAGAAAACAGTCCCTGCTGCGGGCGACTACTCGTTTTATTAGCATATCAGGGTGATCGAAATCTCGACGACAACACTAAAAGCAAAGTTCACACATTGCAGTGGTTTATTGTTTTCGCTGAATTTGCATATTTTTATCAGTCGGTGAGGAGTATATTATACAAACGGAGACTCAAAGTAAATATACAAAAGCGTGAATATTTTTGAAACTAGTAGTAGCTAATTAGAGAAGATACATCATAAGTTTCTGTATGATAATCTTTTAGTCTGTCTATGATCACTTTATAGTGAATTCAAAGCAATACCGAAAATGATGGTTTCCCTAAGCCTACAAATGCTTCGAATTCAGAAGTAAGTCGAATTTCTATTTCTGAGTTTCAGATGGCTGAAAAATGTTATTTTGTGACGTTACTCCTTTGCTCCTTGAAGCACGCATTAAGGTCATAAGGCGTTTCTGGCCAGGTGAGCGTTGTTTCGAGAACTGGCGACACTGTCTTTGTTTGAGCATAAAGTATACTTAAAAAAGATGCAGAAAAGAACACTTCATTAAATAAAAGGTGCGCTTTAGGATAATTTATCCACACACTATGCTTTGAATTTAACCACAAGATTTCTAGTTGTGGTTTGCCCTTATTTTAATTCAGAAAATGAGCATGCTTTAGGCGCAGCATTAGGTGTACTTTTTTGCTGGAATTACTGGTCCCAGTTTTGAAGTACTTGTAGGTTATTCAGGAAAATCTCTCGGAGTTCCGCGATACGATTTAGAAACGCTCTGTTCTCGTTAAAGCCTTGCGCTACAACAAAACAGGCGTCCTGCAAGTTTATCTCAGAAAGTCCACACATTTGTTGACCTTCTATCCTCTTTGTCGTCATACAAATCATGACAAGATGGCTTTAATTCGAAATGTCCGGGAGCAACTTCTGGATACTATCAATGATTACAATGAAGTGTACGCGCAATTTAGTCTAAAGAATGCCGAGCTGGAGCGTCTCAAGAAAGAATATGTTGGCGAAACAAGATACTGTATGGAAGAGGGTGAATGTGATGAAAGAGGGTGAAAGTGATGAGAAATTTGATCTACACCGGGAACTGATGAAGGAAAGTCGATTATGCATAAATACCGATGTCTGTGCGACCTTGCTTCACCAGATGACAATTATCCGCCAGGATTTCCACATGTCCATTTCACAGTCAGATCAGGGCAACAGTATTTCTGTCAGCTGCCACAACCAAAAAAATTTGGACTTGAGGCTATAAAACGCTCAAAAAAAAAGTGATTGCTGAGTGTTTTTTTTTTTCATTGCGCTTCTTGTGGAGGAATGAAATTAGTCAGCTGGATTTAATTCATACATACTCAATATGAACTGTTTTGTTAACTGTTTCTTGGCTGACGAAGCAAAGTCACACTATAATCATGCGCTTATTATTGACGCAACGTTAAAAAGGTTTTAAGTGAAAATTTCACATCGGAGTCCTCGGAAAAAAGGAGAATGTTTGGTTGTTAATGTGCTGTGACATCCTGAAAAGTCAGAATCCGCAAGCGTTTTCAGAAACACTTATTGTGATCGCTTAACAATTAACAATCGCAAGGTTTTATCAATGCCTTCAATAAACAAAGCACTTTTTCACTTGCTCATTTTCAACAGCTGTTCACCAGAGGCTAAACACAAAAGTGTAAATCTATGGAACCGGCTTTGAAGTGAACATGTGGATAAGTGAGATGTGGATTCGGCGAGTGGGCATCGCGCAGCATTTGATAGGCGCGTGCTAAACCGAAACCGCTGACAACCAGTTCTCGCTGTAGTGCATTCTTTTTCTTCGCTGTTTCATTAAGCTTTAGATTTTCCGCCTCAATCAAGAAACCGCGCTGCAGAAGCCCTGATCGCATGCGGTGGATATCGCATTTCATCCAGGCACTGTGGTAGTCATCAAGGTGCAGGAAAAATTTACTCTCTGCGACCTGCGTCAAGTGCAAGCGCTTTTTGATGTGAAGACGGCTGGGGTAGTTGGTTGAGAAGTTTCCGAGATTCGCAACTGCAAATCTTGCTTCCAGAATGACTGTTTGGTTGGTGTGTAATGTCAGAAAACTCACTCGCTGCTTTTTGATCATTTCCTGAAATGCTGGCGAATGTACTCTACAACAGATTTTTGAATGTTGAACGATTGTGTCGGACCAAAATTGGCGGAGAAATTATCACTTGTTCTGTGCTTCGCATGGATGAAAAAAGCGTCATGGTAGCTCATGGTTATCTCTATGGAACTAACTGTAAAAAAACACGTGTATTACGTGTATGCATGTGTGCATATGCTTGCGTGTGTATTTATATGTATGCAAGTATATGTGTACACATTCATTCATGTTTGTGTGTGTGTGTGTGTATGTGTCTGAGTAATCTGAAACTAAGGAAAGTACTCACATTTAAGTTCCATTCTGTTTCAGACCCTTGCACTGCATTGTTGTCAGTGCTCCGTCCATCCGGCTGCAAAACGTACTAGTATTAGCGCTCATTTTTCATAGTTTTGGGTCACAAAAAAAAAAA